ATGGGTTGGGTACATGGGTTGGGTACATGGGTTGGGTACATGGGTTGGGTACATGGGTTGGGTACATGGGTTGGGTACATGGGTTGGGTACATGGATTGGGTACATGGGTTGGGAATATGGGTTGGGTACATGGGTTGAGTGGATGGCCATGGACGGACGCGGGATGGACAGTTCAGGTTGGTTGGATACATGGGTTGGGTGGACGGGCGGACGGACGCAGGGGTGCATGGGTTTGATGAAGAGAAGGATGAATGGATGAATGACAAGTCTACATTTCTTACCATATTCACTAAAGTCATCTACCAGTATAATATCAGCAATAAGATGAGGTGGAGATTCATTCAATACACTATGAACGGTGCGTAGTAATACGCTCAGCGCCTCGTTATGAAAACAAATAATAACACTTGTAGTTGGCAGCTTTTTAGGATACCCAACATGCTTCTTTTTACATCTGCAACAACACATGCACAGTTAACAGTGATCGAGCTTAACACCAACTGACGTATCAGGAAAGGTGCGATATATTTCATTAGCTATATTACCACATCTACATAAAATACTGGTTCGTGATTGGTCGATTGACAGTGGATTTTTTTTCTTAATCAGTGCAATTAATTAATTGCAAAAATCCGGGAACTCTTTTCCGTGTGTTGTTGTTTGAAATTGGAGTTTGGAGTTTGACCTCTTAGAATCTGGAATCTAGAAGCCGTATGAAGTGGAATAACCAGGAAATGGAATTTAGACTGAATTTATGAGGAAAAAACTTGGTTATCATTGCATCGCATTGAGGGGTTGTTTTAGAGGACATATTACCAAGATGGCGTCTATTTCACCCCTAAACAGTCCCACAATGCAATGCAATGTCAACTCGACCTAATTTTCCCCGCAACCTGGGAATGCATGGCTAATACAGAGTCCACAGTCCAACATGTACAATATAGAATCCAGTTCCAARAATCCAAAAGTCCATATCAACATGTCACGTGCAGTGCACATGGCAAGTACGCATGCAGCTAGCTACAACATGGTTGCCATACAACAGAATCCTCTCTTCATTACTGAGTTACTTACTTAGGTCCCCTAACATCTTGCAACTTTCTGTCCAATGAAATCCTGTCACTCAACATAACGTTGAACGAATGATTATCAAACACCATTTGCGCGGCGTTCTTGAGATTGTCGGGTAACTTGGCCGGTACTCCGAACTCTCCTAACCCAGGAATAACATCAAATGCTTCATATCGGTTCTTCCTGTTGCTATTTGATCGAAGCTTGTGAAGGAACTTTCGGTAATCATGACTGCGTCTATTATTTTTAACAGTATTTGGCATAAGATTTTCTGAGTCAAAGAGGTTTAACTGATTGTTCATGAACGTTAAGAATATTAAAAAATCCACTGAAATCCAGAAGACTGATGTTAAGATGAAGACTTTGACAAGAAGTCTCTGTTGTCTGACGAAGCGAGTGTAAGACATCTCTAACTTCTAGTGTCTAATTTTGTATAAAATTATTATTCTAAAAAAATCTACTATCGACGTGGATCTGTCGTGTTCTTTCTAACCAGCCCATCCACTCGGAGCATCAAATCTTACTCGAAAGATCCCTAAACTAAATATTTAACCTTGTCCTTCGATGACCGACTTATTTATATGTGCCTCGAAAAGTAGTCGACAGGCTTAGGAAATTAGCTCGGTGACAAAAGATAAGCCTCGAGGCGAATATAGTATCAATATTCATAACTTGTTCTTTTTTGGTTTGTGTTTGACCATTTTCCTTTGTACATCATCTGTTTGCCGGTACCAGATACGAAAATCAGCGGGTGACTCTTTTTATTGAACGCAACGTGCAAAAAATCTCGTAAACAAATAGTATCTATACAGTATTCTCTTGCAAACTGGCACAGGAAAGATATACCGGAGCGAGTAAGGGAAAGGCTCATTATCTGATATTCACGAGATTCAGAAGCCGATAACTAGACTGAAAGTTAAAATCCTTATCTCCTTTTTGCATAAAAAAAGCTATTGTCAATATTATTTTTTATAAATAAAAATTCTATCTTATGTTACCACGATACTGTCACACAGATTTCCCGGCTATTTATTCATTTAGAAACTTCTCTTATTAATTCAAACTGGTTAGAGCTGTGCTCCGGGGTCATACATGGACTGTATATAGCGGCTGCCAGAGGCGGTTTTCAAATGCTTTCCGGTTGACCCCGTTGAGCGGTCACTGCTGTACTTGCGGTCAGTGATAACTCAAGCTTTGCCTTATTCCAAATTCATATTTCGTGTGATTATTATGCCTTTTTACTGTAACGTTTTTAACTTATTACAACAGTAAACATTGATGAATGGTAAATTCTATTTTCTTTAGCTGAAAGAATAATAATTTGGGGGGTGGGGGGCACGCCCATAGCAATGCCCTGTAGTATTAACGTCTGTGAAAATTCGTACAGGGGAAATAAGTAACGAGACTGTGGTTATTATTATCAGTTGGAATAATATTGTTACAGATGTGGCGGTCGAGTCTGATTGTCAGGATTTCCGATTCAACATATTGACTTTTAGATTTTTTTGTGCAGCCCAGTAACCTTTAACATTTTGTTAACCAACAAGGACAATTTAAGCGATGCCTGATGGCCTCATGTACCTCCTGGCGTGATTAGGATAATGATGATGAGGCTTTCGGCATACTGATTGGCTCAATGAAAGTTTTAAGTGTGAAGTCATTTGAATGAAAAGTACGTCGACTTTCGGGTCTAAATGAAAAAGTTGGCACAAATATTTCTAACGAAATATCATTGTTTACTCTTCGTTAACGCAAACCACTGTCTGTCGCTACTTTTCTCTTAGTCATTAAGAGCTAAAAGTTCTATTTTTTCCCGTTTTTGGTTTTGGAGTTTAAGTCGTAATCCTTCCCTCTGTCCCCTTCACTTCCCCTTATTCGCCTGTCTTCACGTCGGTGACTTGATTCCTTCTCCTCGCGCGTTTTTTTCTTTCGATAATATCTCTCGTCATCACTCTCGCTGCTCGAAAGCGTTCGAGAAGTTCTTTTTTTGTTTTCGTCGTATTTCTTCTTTTTTTCATAGGAACGTCTCTCACTTTCACTGCTTAAAGCCTCACTTCTTTTACTTTCCTTTCCTCTGTGTTTTCTATCGCTAGAAGATTCTTTGGCGTAATGTCTCTCTCCTTTTTCCTCAGAATCTGAATAACGTTCACTTCGGCGAGAGTCTTTACTTTTTTCCCTGTCTCTCTCCTCATCGGAGTCCGAAGAAACATAACGTTTACTTCGCTTAGCTTTCGTTTTCTTTCTATCTTGACGTTCTTCTGAATCTGAAGATGAATCTCTGTTATTTTGTCTATCATTTTTTGGCTTTCTTTCGTCATCATCTTCGCTGTCGCTTGCTCGCGACTTACGACTACGTTTCTTCTTTTTCTTCGCTTTATTTTTGGAACTTTCACCTTCTTGTTCTTTCCTTTCCAGCTTATCGAGTTTTCTAAATTTAAAACACAGAAAAACATTCAAAAAGATAAATTTTTCAATCATTAGAAATTCTATAAAATCTCAAATATGGAAAGTTCTTGACAGTCTTTATCACCTCAGTAATTTTCTCTTTTGTTTGTCTGTCAGCGACGCAAGAAATTCTGCCTCGGGATCTTGTTCTTCATCGTCAGATGCCAGAATTTGCTGAAAATATATTTGTATGACGATTGACAAGTGTTATTTCATTAATCGCTGCAAAAAAAATTTCCTTGTGAACTTATACGATTTCTTCCGAAGTTCAAAATGTTTCAATTATCAATACACTTGTTCTTGAAAAGTTGGTTCGGCATTTTATTTGAGATGGCCTATTATTATCATTGATACAATTTTTACCTGGTTTGGGTCGCGTGGATTAAACTTTCTTCCTAGAACACCTTGTTTTAGGGCTAGTCCATCGTTACGCATGTCCTTCATGAGTTGAGCAGGGTCTGTCACATCTGCATAAAAAAGACAATGAAAAAGGAAATAAATTTTATTACTCTGACAACGAAGCCCTACTAAAATAGATTGCTGCACATGTAGGAATCATGTGAAATATTTTGGAAGACCCGGCAATAATTTGTCTAACAATTTCCAATTTCATTATTGTTCAAGTTGAAAACATTTGCAGAGATACTTCATTATCTTGTGATTTCTCGGTGTTTAACGAATTTTTACTTGTATATATTACATAATCTTGCCAGTTGTACTAATTAAGAATCAATGGAATGGTAATGGTATTTCTTACCTGCAAATGTTGATGGATCACTTTTTGAAAGCGAAGTTTTGTTCATCTTAGGGCACTAACAGGAAATGACCACTTATCAAATACTGAAGATAATCATTACAAAACACAAGTAATGTTTCAATGTAGCAAGAACCGTCAGTAACTATCTCACCTCTCTGTCAGTGTTGACATGCCCCCATTTGCCACATCTGATGCATCTGACATTACGCACCTTTAACATATCAAAATTATTTCAAGATTAGAAAGAAAAATTACCATAAATATGGAAAACAGGCCTTACTTTTTAATTTGATTGAATAACAGGCAAGTCTGTATTTATTTTTCCTTACAGCTCCTTCCAATTACAAGTGCAAAACTGTACAATTGCAGTTGAAGTCTTGATGAAGTAGAATTTGGTGCAGGTCAATCAAGGCATTCCCTGCTAGCAGAGTTTCCCTGGTTGGCCAAAAGAGAGACTCAAGCATGTACCCTTGAAAACTTTGTGTTTTCAGATAATGCCAATGATGGAAACACTTTGACTGATGTCCCCCAACATCCTAATTTGCTGCACCAGTAAATCGTGTGATTGGGGAGCACTGTAAGTGGATGTGTCTTCATCCTTATTTTACAAGGTTAATGATTTCAACATGAATGCTCATCATCAGGGTGCAGAAGATTGTGTCAATCATCATTGAACAGCAAAAAGTAACACAGCTTGTTTTAGTATTTTGGCTTCATTCTGGTTATACACTACTTGGGTCCCAAAAAATAAATATTTTTTGTGTCAAACCAGTCTCAATAAAAATGGTTGATCAATGTCATTGGTTCTTTGCATGATTGTAATCCTATGGTCTGGAATTATCCCAGTGTTCTATAAAACATAGGTTAAAATACTTACTGGGATGCCAAACGGTTGATCTCTTACAGCTAGATTAAGATTCTTTGTGTATCTGTGAAAAAGAAAAGATCACTTGTCACCTGTTGTATATTTAACCAGTTTCCTCTAGTTTTCCATGGTATGCCCTCTTATTTACCACAATTGACATCATCTAGCCGTCAAAATGAACGTGAACTTATGAGGCATAGCCAAGGGAGTCCACATCATATTTTGACAGCTATATGAGAAAAAAGTGGTAAAAGAGAAGACATCCAAAAACTAAAGAAAATTGGTTAAATACAACAGAAAACAGGGCTTAAAATGTTTTAATCTATCTTAAAAACAGCTTCAATGTCCGGCCAGAATTTAGATTTGTCCAGTCAAATCTTTGCCTTGCCCATCATTTTGACCAGTAACGTTTAGTCAGAAATAAGGTATGACTAAGCAAAAATCAAATTAGGCATGTGATGATCAGCCATTTTTCTAAATGCTGGAAAATTATCAATTTTACTACAGAAACAAGGGGAAAATTTGAAAGAAAAATGGTTGGTCCTCCTATTTATCCCACCTCTAGACCAATCAGAAAGCAAGTGAGTTCACAATTTTGGTAAAAATATATACACACTATAATAAATGTAATAAAAAATATACCAATAAATTACTCCACTTTCTCACCCTTCTCTCGGTGCTCCTTTCTGCCATTCAAATCTTGGCTCCTCCTCTTCTTCTTTATTCTTTTCTTTTTCTTTTGATAAAAAATATCATTTCGAACACAATACTAATAATTAACACAAAAAAGTGCATAATTTGGATAATATGAATGACATCACATGCTGATTGCAGGGTACTATATCAGTATTCTAATTGGAAGAATAGTAATAATAATATTGCATATAATCTTTCGAATTTGTCAATCTCAGGTTTATCTCATGTTATTATTTTTCACACAAAAAGTTGAAATGTTTGAGTATATTTAAATTATTGCACGTTGGGATAATGGAAAACCGGTCTCCAACTAAATACATGTAGTTAACTAAATAGTTCTCCCAATGGTCATTTTGAGGTTTGTGCCAAAATGTGCATACAACTGACCCCCCACCCCCCCCCCCACAACTCTTATCATGCCACTGGTTTTGTAGATTGTTGTAGAGGTTTGCTGGAGTAATTATTGATTGTAGGGAAGATGTACTGATTATCAATGAACCTTTATCAAATCCCGGAGGAGCATCATACAAGAATCCTAGCCCTGACTTCAGCTTCTCATCGTTGCTCACCATTTGTCTGAAAGGGAAAGATGTTCACTGATTATAAACACTGGTTTTTTCCCGGGGGGGGGGGGGGGTACTCTTGCCCGTTTAGGGTAGGGATGTGCCGCTGAGCCTACTGAACCCTGACCCTGTTCCAGAGTAAAATCGCTGAATTTCATACCGTGTTCCAGAGCAAGAACGCTGAAAATCATACCCTGTTCCGGTGTTGCGAAAATGGATACCCTGTTCCAGATAGGAAAGAGCGTGATTTCATATACCCTGTCCCAGAGCAAGCGCGATTTTATATACCCTGTTCCAGGGGTTTTTTATCTCATTTGTCTAAACACTTTCTACGTGTTAGAATTCTTTTTAAAAATGGATTTCTGAGAAATTATTTTAAACCGATGATCGTCAGAGAGGAATATAAAGATGCGACGTTGCAAAATGCAAGCCAGATCTGTAAACACCTTACCTATTTTGGTATTTATCTTGTTCTCTTTGGTACTGTTCATTCAACTCTTGTTGTTTTTGTTTGTCAGCCATAAGTTTCTGCTCTGCCATCCATACCTGTAGGATATTTTAATAAGTTTAACCCYACATCAATGGAAATCTTAGAAAATCGTGGTAAAACGTTGAAGGCGTCAAAAGACTTTACCCTTTTAATGTTCGCATTGGATCCAGGATGGAAGTCCTTCTTGTTCATAAACTTGGCAAACATGATTGCTATGTATTTCTTCAAATGTATCTGTAAGTAATTATTGAGAAGTCTGTCTTACGAGATCAAAAAAGCCAACTTTTCTATACCGTCCTATATTTGATTGTGTCGTTTAGTACGCCATCTTGTTTTTCAAGATCAAAAGTCTGGGCTTCCTGTGGATTTATTGGAAGGCCTGGACACTTGGTAAAAAACATGGCGGACGAACTCACTAAAATTAGCGCATAAAATTGGCCCTCAATTTCTTGATAATCTTGAACGTTAATTATGAATAAAGGGTGTCAAAAGTGCTTCGTTTTGCAGAGGAGGCTACTAGACTGCAGAAAAAGCTTTTGTTCGAAATCTTCAAGAACGCTATCAAAGACGAGAGGTGAAGAACGTAGACGTGTGGTGGTCACTGGCTTGGGTAAGCATTTTTACATTGACATTTACCAAAAATACTGTTTACGAGGCTAATGAAGTCTGTGTAAAGATAAAAAATTGAGAATAAAGATAGCTGTTTATTGTTTTATGTACATATGAAGGGCTCCTTTTTTGAGTGTTGAATATTTTGCATCAGGGTTGGTGTGTCCTCTAGGAGTTGGTACGAAGCATGTCTGGCAACAACTTATTAGTGGTCGATGTGGAATTACGAAAATAACTGATAAAGGTTTGTTGACATATATGTACTTGTCATTTTGATACACAGGGACTGCAGACAGGAAGGGCTTACCCTTCACTTTTTGCTAATATCTTCTAAATCTTAAAGTTAAACTCCTATTTTTCGTGTTACCACTTTTTTCACTGCTATGCGCTGATAGAGACATAAATTATGCCCAACGATGATGATGATGATCACTGATGACAGTGATAATGATGATGACAGGGATGATAATGATGACAATGATGATGGTGGTGCTGGGGTGCTAATGATAGCAATAATCCATGTATAAAACTCTCATTTAAACTTTATGTCCTAGCTAAGACCTAAAAATTTCACAATAACTGTAGCCTTTCGATCAAAAAACCCCCACTGATTTCTTTTTCTTCTGATGAATGTTTTAACTTAAAAGTTTGCTGTTGTTGTTATTGATTTCAGATTATGATACAATACCTGCAAAAATTGGTAATTGTTTAAAACACCATGCTAAGGTGACTCACCTTAGGTTCTTTGGCACTCACATAGCAATGTTTGATCAGCTCTAGCTCCCTTCATGAAGATTTTTTTGGCTAGATTTTCTACACTCTCCTTGGTGTAGAATGAAGTTTCTAAAAAGAGAACTTTGGTTGAAATTGGTGTAACATTATAACGAGGGAGTGATGATGCTGTCTAATTTGCATACAGCATATTTTTGGAGAACATCAACTTTAACTTTGAAAAGGACGTAGCATACCCTGAAGCCAATCAAGCATTGCTAGGTGAGTGCCAAAGAACCTAAGGTGAGCTACAGTACCGCCTGAAATCATTGCAGCATGCGAACGCGTTTGTTTCGCGTCTTTACCGCGTGCTATGAACGCAAACTGTACGCGGAATGGACGCGAATGGACGCGAATGGACGCGGTCAATACGCTCTTTCGTTCTTACTGCGGTTTATAGAACGTAGCATTTACAGTACATGTGCCGAGTACATTTGCAGTGAAAGTGCCCCAAAAACTAGACATAACTTTTTAATCAAATGAGCAGCATTTTCTGAAAAACGTAGCATAATCATCGACCGA